ACTTGGGAAGTGGGACCGGTGCGCAAACACTTTTGAGTGGGTCTGAATCATCTTAGGACGGTCTGATTTAATTTGGCATGGGTGCTGTATGCTTCCATTGTTTGATTTTGCTTTGATTTGGGAGTGAGAAAATATGCTCAGGCCCTGTTGCTTGTATTGATACGATTTGAAATGGTTCGTCCTTTCTTGCAGCATGTATTTTTGTCCAAATTGTTAAGGAATGCATTAGCTTTAGGCTTTTAAACATTATTAAAACCATGAAGTTCTTGTGAATTCTTTTTGCAGAGCCATTGTAAAAGTAGCAGTAGTAAAATATGCCATCCAGAGAACTCATCCAGAAATGGATGCATCATACCCAAGGTAATAATTTGTTTTGAAGCAATAAGACTTGCATGTCAGTGTTAGTTATAATAAGCCAAGAGTGAGGTATCAAGAACAATCCTGGGTGGTGTTCACCATGAGCGATTTAGCACTTCTTTCACACGCACATCGATTGGGAAAGTCTTGGCCCCAAATGCCGCTTATGCAAGCTTCCAACCTAAGCAATATTCTATATCTAGAAGAATGTGTTTACCTATCGTACGCGTGTTTGTGCTAGGTTGCGCGCCACTTAAGCATGATAAAGTGGTCCGTTTTCCACAGTACCATCATAGTCGTCTAAGTGTACTCCGCAAGTCTGAGTAGGATGTGGCAAGAATAACTCTGTTTGAAGGTCACACGTCATATTTCTCTTCTTGATTTTGGTCGCTTTTCCAATCGTATGATGGTCCGTGTTACTGGGAGCTGGGTTTGCTTAGGATTTTGTGCTGTTATGTGTATGGAAATTGGTAATTGGAGTGTGTTATTGTCTAGTTGTATTTGTTGACTTGTCACCAAGATGCCGAAGAACGCCTTTCATTGAAGTGCCTATTTCACTACACCAGGCATTACCCATCCAGAAGGCGTAGTTAGGCAAAACGATCGAAACCATGTAAGTGAGGCCATAAGCCCTTCATTTTGCGCTTATTTGCCAAAATGATGGTCAGGCTAAATCATGGAAACCTTCAAATGAATGAAAATTGCACAGCTACATTTAACTACTACACTTATGATGCGCTGGTCTTTTTTACCTCCATGCGCTGTGTGGCACAAGCCTCTCTCAAAGGTTGAGTTTTGTTCTAATGTCATATGCAACTCCAACCACAAGCACTGTTTTGTTTAATAGCATGGACAGTTTCTTCATCTGTCACTTACGATTGCAATTGCTCGTGACAATACAATTGCCGCATGACAAATGCTAGCTATCTTTTTTCCACGGCATCCTTTGCAATGCAAATGAAGTTGCAGGAGGTGGGGAAAGGTGGAGGAGAAATGCATGTTGTTGACCTGGTTGACTAGAATGAGAAGCACTCTTGGTGGAAATGATGTCTTTCCTCAATGAAGGGTAACATTGTGAATCGGTCAAGATGGGTGGCGGTGTGAACGAGTAATCGACTGGCGGTGTTGACATTGTTTTCATTGTTCTTCTGAGTGTATGAGTTATTTTGGAAAGAAAGTGCCATATGTCGATCCGAGACGAGGCACATTTAAATGTAAAGGAGGAGAGAGGAGAGGTCTCCAAGCTTGTATGTATCCACTGGATTTGCGAAAGAGAAAAGATGTTTTACTAATTTGCTCACCTGGATTACTGGCAACACTCTTCACTCGGTACTCTCTGTACCTCCGATCTCAACCCGCATTCTAGCGTTTTGCATGAAGAGAGTGATAATGCGATGACTTGCTGACTGCTGGAAGCAGTCGAGTGTTCAGCCCCTCCCCCCCCACTAACCCCTATACCCATTTACTCACCCAAACGGCCAATGCTTGTGTAATTAACGTCTGCACTATGCTGTCCACGTGAAATGCTAAGAGAATGGGTTTTTTGGAAAACATCTATTTAAATCTGCAAATATTTGATAAGGGATGTGCGGAAAAATTATTTGGTAACCTCAGGGGCAGTAAAAAATTAGCTAAATTTTTTTGTTTGACCATTGCTGATTTTTGGGTGAAATTTAGTCTCTGTAGGAATTAAAAAAGGAGAAGTTATGGAAAGACGACAATAATACAGAAAAAGTGAACTGCAAGAGGCATTAAAACCTTTGGATAGGTAAAGCAGACAAATTACAGTGATCAGAAAGGGCGGTGTACCATGGCCTTGAGGATGGGATACTTAGATGAGTAGCTATGAGGGAGAGCAACGGACAGGATGCAGTGGAAGAGGTTGCTGAGAGGAGCGGCATTGAGAAATGA